TAACGTTTCCTTGTGCAGAAAAGTTATACCTCTTGTATTAAGGGGGAGCCTTAACTTAGGGGGAGAAATAAGTGTAGAGAAACCAAGTATCAAAGCAAACTTTCAAAAGTTGGTTGTCATCATCAAAAAGGGGGAGATTGTAGAAGCAAGCTTCAAGCACATTAAAGTTTTGATGAAGACAACAAGAACAAGCTTTCTACGCAACATATACATACGCAAAAACTAAGAGATTCAAGTAAACATCAAGGATCAAGATAGTGCTCTAGAATGTGACTACTATGGATCAAATCTTCTCTTACAAACTTCAAGTGTTGAAGATAGAGTTTTGAACATCAATTCAAAGGTATAACAAATATTACTTGAAAATACCTATACAAGTGTTCAAAAATTCATATCTCACTACACATATATCAAAAACACTTTTAAAACATTTTTTAGATGTTCTCTCATTTTAAAATTAATTCTGTTTTGAAAATCCTTCAGTGTTAACCGATTAACCCTTTTGGTTAACTGGTTAACGGACCTCAAAATCAAGTTTCTGGTGAATTTTTTATAGTGTTAACCGATTAACATATATGATTAACTGGTTAACATGTGTTAATTTTGAGTTTTTTTAACGTTGAAAGGTGTTAACCGATTAACACTGAAGCAGTAAGCAAAAATGGCAGCTTTTCATGAAAATATGCATTGCTTTCTAATTGATTTCTGATTGTTTTTCCTACACAAAATCACACCTTTTTGTAAAGGTATTTTGTCAGTATAAATTGATATCATATTTAAAAATCAAATACACCTCCAAGAAACTCAATCATAAAAATTACTCATTCTCTTCATCCTTCAAATTTTCATTAAGTGTTCAAAAACAGTTTTTGAAAAGAAGCTTTTTGAATAAATTTTCACATTATCACAGCTTCATTTCATTTTTTTTAAAAGAACACTTGTGTATTTCTTTGAGTAATATTTGTTTCAAGGAGAAGATCGATCGTAAAGATTGATAGCATCATACTCTCAAAGACATCAACTTATTCCAAAGATTATTTTGTATTACCTTGTTATCCAGGATTGTTGGAAACAAGTGAAGTGTTTGAAGAGAATTGTTCTTCCTACACTTGATTTACCTATAGATTAGATAGTAGGCTTCACCATTGGTGTGATTATGCTGTGCAATCATTCTAAACTATAGTGAAATCTCTTTCGAGTCGAAAGGGGAGTGGAGTACTCTCGGAGTGTGAGGGGAACCACTATAAATTTCTTGTGTCTCTTTTTCTTTTCCGCACTTTACTTTCAAGTCCTAACATCATAACCGAAAAAGAACCAAGAACCGAAAAAGATTGCAAATAATTTTTGAGAACCTAATTCACCCCCCTCTTAAGCGCATTTACAAGTTACAGCCTTGTGTCGAGTTACGTCTCCTTTAGGATTTACCTTCACCTTGTAAACCCACTTCACATCAATTGCTTTCTTGCCTTGCGGCAATTCGATAAGTGACCAGGTATCATTGACTTCGATGGACTCCAACTCTTCAGTCATTGCTTTCACCCACTTCGAATCTTTCAATGCCTCATCTGCGTTGACTGGTTCGACATCTGCGTAGAAAGCATAATGTACCAGCTCACTCTCTTCATCGACTACATCATCTGATGTAATTACACATTCTTGCTACCTTGCAGGCATGTGTCTTGTTCGTCGAGGCTGCTTGAACCTGCTTCATCTGCAACTGGTTCCTGTCAAACTTCTATTTCGACTTCAGTAGCTAGTTCTTCACAAGAGATTCTCACTGAGTCCTTCTTGGCATTCTCAGTCCAATCCCATTCTTTAAGATCATCTATGATCATGTCCCTACTGATCACTACCTGCTTATTCACTGGGTCGAACAGCTTGTAACCTCCTATCGAATGATATCCTATCAAGATCATCTAATTCGACTTATCATCAAGCTTCCTTCTCAACTGATCTGACACATGTCTATGTGCTATAAATCCAAACACCTTTAAGTGACTGAGACTAGGCTTGACACCAGACCAACATTCTTATGGTGTGATTCGTTCAAGCTTCTTCGTCGGACATCTGTTTAATATATATGTTGCTGTCGAAACTGCTTCTCCCCATAATTCTTAGGGTAGATGCTTCCCATTCAACATACTTCTCACCATATTCATGATGGTTCTGTTCTTGCATTGTGCAATCCCATTTTGCTGTGGAGTGTAGGGTGGAACCACCTCATGCACAATCCTTTCTTTTACACATAGTGTATCGAACTCTTTCGACACATACTCTCCACCACCATCAGTCCTCAGAATTTTCAGCTTTCGACCACTCTGTCTTTCGACCATGGACTTGTATCTGGAAAATACCTCAATCACATCACTTTTCTTCTTGATGAGGTAAGTCCACAACTTTTGACTGTAATCATCTATAAATGTGACAAATTATCTATTGCCACCAATCAAATCCACCTGGATTGGACCACATACATCCGAGTATATGACTTCAAGTATTGCCTTCGACTTCCTTCCTGCATCCTTGCTGAAGCTATTCTTGTGTTATTTCGACTGAACACACTACTCACAGACTTCACTTGGAATGTCGATTTCTGGTAATTCTGAAACCATATTTCTTCTCTTCAGTTCTCTGATGTCATTAAAGTTGAGATGACCTAGTCGAAAATGCCATAACCACTCATCTCTGCTGGCTGCAGTTGCTAGACACTTGTGCTCCATTGCATTGAGTTCAATCTTGGAGGTCCTATTCTGAGACATGGAGCCTTCAATCTTGGAGGTCCTATTCTCATAATCTTGTCTTCGACAACTACCTTGTAGTTCTTTTCGACAAGCTGCCCTATACTGAGCAAATTACTCTTCATGCCTGGTATGTACAACACATTGGAAATTGTTGACCTTTTGCCATCTTTCCTCATAATCAGAACATCACTAACACCTTCAGCTGCTAGAGTGTTGTCATTTGCAAACTTCACTGTGTTCTTCGACGAGGGCTTCATGTTGACAAACCAATCTTTCCTTCCAGTCATGTGTGATGAGCATCAGTCCAAGTACCATTGATCTTGGACTCTTTCTTCATCTTTTAATGTGACCATTAGCAACGTTTCTTCTTCTTCATGTTTTGCCAGCTTTGCATCAGTCTCTTGATTTCTCTTCCTTTCTGGACAATCACTAACATAATGACCATACTTCTGGTAATTGAAACATTGAATGTGGTTTTTGTCTGTCTTTCAACCACCACATCTTCCTTTACCTGAAGCACCACCTCTTTGGTTGCCTTGGTTCCAAGGTTTCTTCTGATTCGACTGGTTTCCTCCTTTGTTGCCATTCCAGCTACCTTTGCCTTTTCTTTCCTTTTCTGACTGCGCCTGCAAAGCCATATCTTTCGACTTTCCTGCAGCTCTCTCAGTCATCCTCTGTTCATGAGACTCAAGAGTCCCTTGAAGCTCTTCCTTCGTCAACACTAACAGATCTTTCGACTCTTCTATGGCAACTACCACATGGTCGAATTTTGGAGCCAACGATCTCAAAATCTTTGAGACAACTGCTTTCGTCGTCAGCGCTTCTCCACATAATTTGATTTGATTCACCAACTTTGTAACTCTGGTGAAGAAATCTGTAATGCTTTCATTGTCTTCCATCTGAAGCAACTCATAGGTTCTCTTGTGAGTTTGTAACCTCACCTCTTTCACCTTCTCTGCGCCTCCAAACGACTTTTCAAGAATCTCTCATGCTTCTTTTGCTGAATCAACATCACTAACCTTTTAAAAGTTATCAGGATCAACACACTGATGAATTATAAAGAGTGCTTTATAATTCTTCTTCTTCAATTCTTTGTGTGCAGCCTTTTCTGCCTCCGCTGCGTTCTCTCCAAGAGATGTTAGTTCGTCCTTCACAAGATCCCAAAGATCTTGATAACAGAAAATCACCTTAATCTGCTTGCACCAATTCTCATAATTGTCTTTCTTGAGAATTGGCAGGGTCACCGAAAAGTTGTCGCTCGGATAGTTCATCGCCATCACTATCTTCCTTCCTTGAATCTCTCAACCGGAGCTCTAGATACCAAATGTTGGAAATTCACCTCACACCCTATGAAGAATTCCCTTCAATTCTCATATTGATGAACAAACTCACAATATGATAGTAATGGTGATAACAAGTAAAGAGTTATCAAGAACAACAAAAGAGAAGAAGAATAACAAACAAACAAACAAACAACAAGAAAGAGAAGAATGAGAGAAGAAATATTTGGAGAAAATTGTGTTACCCACAAAATGTGAGATTTCTGATTACTGTTGAACTTTCACTTGCTAAACTCTGCAACTATGAAATCTGTTATATTATAGATTACAAAGCAAGACACTTATTTATAGTTTTAGCTTTACAAAAACGCAAAACATAAAAGACCCAAAATATTCAAAATCAAATCTAAATCATATCAAATATGTATCAAAAGAAACTATTTCGATATACTAAGAATTACATTTAACATATTAGTGGTAAGAATTCCATCTTTTAAGATAAAGTGAGATATAAAATATCTCTTTACAATTATTAACTTAACTATGCGTTGAGAAATTTAATAAAGATGAATTCTGCATAGAAATATTTCCGTTGATTCAATTCATAAATTTTATTCAACTTACAACTAAATTGAAGTCTATGATCACATTCTTGTTTGTTGCTAGAGAATCTCAAAACAGTAATAGTGGACTTTCAGTTAATGCGATGCATGTGACGGATTCGAATCTATTAATGTACAAAACAAGAAACCATTGGATTGATCAATAATACAGAAATGTAGCCTGCTAACAATAATAATTATTTATTCAAATGTACAACTACAAAGCAAAATTATTTAAAATATATGTATCCGATCTGTAAAATAAGCTTATTTAATTCCTTTTTTTTTTTAAATACCGCACGATTTTCAGGCCGTGAATATTATAAATTATAAATTTATAATCACAATGCAAAGCTAGAAAAAAAGGTCCAGCAACGTTATCCTGTGATGCCACTACACTGAATTGCGCTCGGAATATTCCTCTTCCTGAAAACCGTTGAACACTCCGGCAACTCTCCGAGATCAGCAAACAGCGATTCATCCTCTTCTCTCATCGTCAACGTTATATCCTCCATTCCTCCGCAGATCGGGCTTACAAAAACTCCGGTAGATGCAACGTCGTCGAACCAGCCAAAGACGGCGTGGTGGTGTTGGTGGTGGCTGAGCAAAACCGTTGAGTCACCGGAGAGGTCGAACTCAGGATGAGTGGAGAAAACGGTTAGGTTCTCTGGCTGTGGAGTAGCGGCGGGAGATGCAATGTTAAATTCGCCGGAAGAGTCGCCGGGAGATGGAGATGGAGATTCGACGGTGACGGTTACAGCGGTGGAAGAAGATGAATGAGATTTGGGAAGAGGGAGAGAGTGGTTGTGGTCGTGGGCGTAGGTTACGAGAAGCTTTGTGGGGTCCACGCGGCTTCTCTCAACTTGTTTCCTAGCGGGACACCCTTTTGAACTGCTACATCGGTAATAGCCCCTGCATTTTCAAATTTAGATTAATTAATTGCAATTAAAAATTGGATTAGGAAGAAAAATGCATTATCAAAAGAAAGATTAAGATTAAACATTGTTTTAAAAATATGAGTGATGTTGATTGGGATCATGGGATGATAATACAGAACAAGAAAAATGCATTATTAAGAGAAAGAATTATAGATTATGCCCCATCTTTAGCGCGTGTTTATCAACCGCAATCATTTATTGATATATTCTACATTTTTGTTGTTAGCTTCGTTTCAATCATTCTTCAAGGGCAAAATAGTAATAATATTAATAAAAGGAAGACTTTTACGAAAATTAAAAATTATGAATATTTTCTTATATCATGTATCTTACTATAATCAAGATATTTGTTGAGATATTTTTAATATTTAATATTTAATTCTTGACAACAACTTTTATATATATTTAAGCGTTAATAAAAATTATGGTTAAAAATTATATTATTATTACTTTATAGGTGAAGTTGGTGTCACAATCCAAATTAGAAGCCAATACTATAATAACAAATAATTGGATGGATATACTAAATTATAAGATGACGGATATAAATTCATATTATGAAAAGTTAGCAATATAAAATTTCGAGCATTATTAACATTTGATACTTAATATGAGCTTTTGCATATTATTTTCCTATGCCCTTAATAATAAGAAATATTTATCATTGAAAAGAGACTAATAATCTTAGACTCATTTTATGCTAAATATTAGAAGAAACACTAGAAGAGAAATACATTTTCCAATGTATTTGCAACAATTGGCATTAGTTAAGCAAAGACAAACAATGCTAACGTCATTTTATTCAAAATTAGTTTTTTTCCGATGTTAATCCAATATTTATTATTTTTTTAGTTTATATTATTATTTATAAATTTTTACTTTATTAAACTACTATACTATTATAATTAATAATTGTATTATAGTAAAATATATTAATTATATTATTAAAATTAGTATATATATAAATATTTTCTTAAAAACTGTACTTAACTTAAACAAAATACTTTCAGGGTGACAGAGAAATAGTAACCATGTTTTTTTTTTCCGGATGATAGTAACCAAACTTTTGTTTTCAGATTTGGACACACATATGGATAAATAGAATTTAAAATATAGATTCTTATACCTTTTAATTTAAAATATACTAGTATTAATTGAATATACTATTAATTTTTTAATATATGTGAAAAATGCTAAAAGTTTATAAATGCAAATCCAGTTTTTTTATTCGTAAACTTATCTGCATTGGTAAATGCAAATGTTGCATGAAAAACATAAATGCACAATCTCATAGGTATGCAAAATAAAATTGTTTATCTACGTGAAGCTTATATATATAAAAATCCCATAAATTGGAAGTTAAATTTATTACAGATATAACTTCACCACTTTATTAATCCTTGAAAGGTGCATCAGATATTTTAAATTAAAACAAAAAAGAAATTGTTTTCTTTCTCATAAAAATAAAATAATATCAAACTTTGAAAACGACGGCTTCCGATTCAAGATTACTATATTCTCTTAATTCTTAATTAATCACTAATCAGTTCCATAATCAATGGCGTGTGACTACAACGCGTTTCAGAGCCCGCGTGAGGCATCACAATAACCAAAGTTTCTAAACTACTACCACCAACAATCGATAATGCGCATTTTAGCACAGCCGCCCTCAACTCACTTTTCTACGCTTATAGCTGGCGACAACCGCTATCCTTCACACTATTCCGCCATGCACTACCAATTCAAGCAAAAACTTCTAAATTTAATTACCATTCCCAAACCTTATTTAGCATTCTTCACCTCAATTATGTTTCTATCTACAAACTTTGATTTTAAGGTAAAATAAAATTTAATTATCTAGCTTAAAAATAACAATTATGAAAATCAATTAATTAAGATGAAGTTTATGGTACCTGGGATAAGGGGAGCCTTTGATGGGTTTTTGACCGTACTTTCTCCAAGCCCATGAATCCGACGGTGGATACGTCTCTCCTTTGTTCTTAGATACTTCCACGTCAGCAATCGGTATAGTCACCACCCTCTTCTTCATCTCCCTCCTACGTATAGTATCATGAACACAAAATTCTTCAAAGGTTAACTACTTTAACTTCCCAATTTCACAAACTCAAAAATAAAATAAAATCCATTAAAAGAAAGAAATTCAAAAATTAAAAATTAAAATTAAACCTTTTCTTAGGCAACGGTTCTTCAATTTTGGCGGCTTCACAAGAAGGAGAAGCAGGCTCGGTCTCGGGCTCAGGCTCAGGCTCATCAGGGTCACTAACATACAATGGTTTAGTGTTGAATCTACGTTTGTACATGATTGATTTTTGTTTATAGAAAATAACTTTTTTTGGCTTGTTATTTAGTGTATAAAATGGTGATAAGAAGATTTGGCTCGCCGGAAAATGAAGAGAAGGGTGATCGGAGAAGTGGTGGTGGTGGTGGTGGCGAGGGAATTATAAGAGGGTGAGATTGAGAGAGAAGAGTGGATTGAGATTGGTGTTTAATATGAGCCGCCATGGTGACAGATTGTCAATGTAACTAGTTTATTGTGGACGTGCGAGCAAATTCATCAATTAATAAACATTATATTAATGTAAGGGTTTTATTTGATGTAGTAAGGTTCATGATAAACATAACATTCGATTCATTCATTGGTTGGTATATTATGAGTCTATTGACTATTGAGTCCTTGCTACTAAAATAGTATAATGTGTACTATTAGGGTTTATATAGAAATATATAAAATATCAGGATTGCTATGTTGACACCCATCTTTACACCCTACACCTCAATTACTGTTCACAAATACTTGAACAAATTCCCCAGAACATGGTTAATAGTGTGTATTTTATTGGTTAATGAAGTAGTGAAAGTGGTTAATAAATTATAGGTAAAATAATTGGTTAATAATGTAGATTTTTGTGGTTAATGCAACTGTGAAGTTGGTTAATGCGCAATCTTATATTTGTGTTATAAAATAAATTTTAAAAATAAAACTTTTTAAAAAAAAAAATTAATATTTTTAAAAAATATATTATTTTAATAAAAAAACACTGTTCACCGTATAAATACGGTGAATAGTGCATACGGTGTAAGTATTGGGTGTAGGAAATGGTGTAGGAATAGCATTTTTCATAAAATATATATGGGATGTGCTGCATTATGGTCTTATTTTCAAATTGTGTGAAAAGACAATCACAATTGGAATGGTGTATATACAAAAAGAAATTCTTACACCCAAAAGTTACATTACACCCAATTTATTGTTCAATATTTATAATTTAGTCTCAGAACATGGTTAATAGTATGTATTTTATTGATTAATGAAATAGTGAAAATGATTAATAAATTATAGGTAAAATAATTGGTTAATGATTTAGATTTTTGTGGTTAATGTAATTGCGAAGTTGATTAATGACGCAAACTTATATTTGTGTTATAAAATAAATTTTAAAAATATTAATTTTTTAAAAAATAATAATATTTTTAAAAAATATATTATTTTAATAAAAAACATTGTTCATCGTATAAATACGGTAAACAGTGTATACGGTGTAATATATGGAGGTAGGAAATGGTGTAAACATAGCAAACCTATATAAAAAAAAGTTGTATTTCTTCTTTGCAATGCAACTTTATTGGAATTTATATATATATATATATATATATATATATATATATATATATATATATATATATATATATATATATATATATATATATATATATATATATATATATATATATATATATATATATATATATATATATATATATATATATATATATATATATATATATATATATATATATATATATATATATATATATATATATATATATAGAGAGAGAGAGAGAGAGAGAGAGAGAGAGAGAGAGAGAGATCCCAAATAAGAGTACTGAAGACTATTTATATAACATGTACAAAGATTGGGAAAAATACAAAAACAATTTAAAAAATAAGCTGAAATTGAAAAGTCTCCCAATGTAATCGGTTACCATATTTGGGGTAATCGGTTACACCCAATTCCAGTAGCCAGCCACACGTTTTTCAAAGCATGTAATTGGTTACCACATATCCGGTAACCGGTTACCACAACTGGAATGCTTCAAAACTGATTTTCAACACACCACCTTATTTTATTTGTTTCAAGTCCAGCATGCTCAAACTCATCTTCAACCTCTTGAACACCTCATTTGTTACTCCCTTGGTCCACAAATCCTCAATTTGGTCTTCGATTCGACAATATCATCTTAAGTTGTCTTCACTCACTATCTCACTCAAATAATGAAATTGCATCTCTATACGCTTGCTCATTCCATGTGCAATTGGATTCTTCGCAAGATTTATTGCAGAAACATTGTCAACAAGAAGTGTAGTAGTCTCACCCTTATCGTTATCCAACTCCTTCAATAGATTCACATGCCACATAGCTTGACACACACATAACAATGTCGTATTATACTCGGTCTCATAAGACGAGAGTGCTACCAATGGTTCCTTCTTCGAACACTAAGAGATTGGTATCCTACCAAACATAAAGATGTATCCATCATTGACTTTCTATCATCCTTATCACCACACCAATTAGAATCGGTGAAACCAAGTAAATTGCATTTTTGTCCCGTATCCGATGCAGGAAAGAGAACTTCGCAACCAAGAGTTCCTTTATCATATCTAAGGATCCTCTTGACCGCTGCCAAGTGAGACACCTTTGGTCTCTCCATGAATCTACTAGCAATACCGACACAAAATTCCAAGTTCGGTCGCGTATTGCACAAATACCGCAATGATCTAATCAATCTCCTATATTACGTTGGATCCACATCTTGCTCATCCTCACTCTTGGACAGCTGCAACCTTACTTCACACAGTGTAATGGTCGTATTACAATGCTCCATTTAACACCTCTTCAAGATCTCAAGAGCATATCTTCTTTGATGCATGAGCAATCCCGTTTTTGACTTGTGGAACTCTATGCCAAGGAAATATGTCATAATACCAAGGTCCATAATCTCAAATTCATCCATAAGCTCACTTTTGAACTTAGAGATACTCTTCTCACAATTTACGGTAATCAATAGATCATCAACATACAAGAAAAGAATGATCACACCATCATTCGCATCCGTCTTCACATATACTCCATGTTCGGACACACACCGCTTGAAACTAATATCAATTTAAAAGCCATCAATGTGTTTGTTCCAAGCTCTTGGAGCTTGTTTCAAACCATATAATGCTTTATCCAATTTGTATAATTTCATCTCTTGATTCTTTAGTACAAATCAGGGGGGTTGCTCAACATAAACCTCTTCATCAAGTGGACTACTTAAAAATGCAGATTTGACGTTCATTGGATATATCGCCCAATCGTTGTTATTCATAATGCCAAAAACTAATCAGATGGTTTCTAGCCTAGCCACAAGTGCAAACACCTCCTCAAATTCTATACCTTCACGTTGTAAGAATCCCTTTGCTACCAATCAAACCTTATGCTTGATCATCTCGCCTTTGGGATTTGCCTTCACTTTATCGACCCATCGAACACCAATTGGCTTCTTTCCAAGCGGTAAATCAACCAACTCCCAAGTACCATTTTTTCCAATAAATCCTAGTTCCTTCTTCATTGCATAAATCCACTTTGGATCGCTTAGAGCTTCTTCCGTGTTCACCGATTTGGATTCTACCATAAGCGCAAAGTGAATGAAATCACCATCATAATTTATTTCGTTGTATCAGAATCTCTCACATTCTTGGAGTCTTTGAGGTAACATCATTTGCCTTGTTCTTCGTCTAACGTTCTCTTCATTTCAGACCTCAATTGGTGGCTCAACGGCTGTTTTAAAACTGACTGGATCAGAATAAATAAAACTGGAAGCCTATGTGTTATGCATGTATTCGGTTACACCAAAACGAACTAGTTTGGTGTAATTGGTTACACCCTCATCTTCAGAACTAGGAGGCTTATATCTCTGCATGTAACCGATTACATCAGAATGCATTGGATGCATGTAACCAGGTACCCTGGGATTTGCAGCACTCATTTCATCGAAAATAACATCGCGATTGATCACAATCTTCCGATTTTGCGCATCAAACTGCTTATATCCACCAATGGAGTGATATCCCACCAATATCACCTCCTCACACTTGTTGTCCAACTTCTTTCTAAGTTGACCCAACATATGTCGATACGTCGCTGAACCAAAACTCTTAAATGGCTCAGATTCAATTTGAATCCAGACCATACCTCTTTTAGTTTCAGCTTTTCAAGCTTCTTAGTAAGGCACTTATTCAACAAATAGGTGGTTGTAGAGATCGTTTCTCCCTATAGATCCTTCGAAAAGTTCTTTCGACTTAACATGTTACGAACCATATTCATAATCGATCGATTTTTCCTCTCGGCACCACCATTTTATTGTGGTGTATAGGGTGGTACAACCTCATGCACTATCCCCTATTGGTCACAAAACCTCCCAAAGACATTTGAGACATATTCACCTCAACCATCTGTTTTGAGCTCTTTGAGTTTTTTTACCGCATTGCCTCTCGACCATAAACTTAAACTTCTTGAACATATCAAACACCTCATCCTTCCTCTTAATAATGTAAGTCCATAGCTTTCTACTAAAATCGTCAATAAATGTGACAAAATACCTATTGTCACCCAACGTGTCAACTTGCACCGACCCACATACATCGGAATACACCACCTCAAGGTGAGCCTTGGTCATATGACCTGCGTCCTTGCTAAAAATCCCATTGTGTTGTTTTTCTTTCACACATTCTTCACACAACTTAGCTGGAATATTAGTGTGTGGCAGCCCGATAACCATAGCATTTTATTGCAATGCTTTGAGATCGCAAAAATTGAGATGCCCAAGACGGTAATGCCATAACCAATCTTCTTGACTTACCGTTGTATCTAAATACTTATGCTCCATCATCTCAACTCTATCTTGAAAGTTCTATTGGCATCCATATGAGCTTTAAGGACTAAACCCTGTTTCGGTCCAAAACACGCAAAATCTTATTTTCCTTGTGAATCATGTATTTCTTTTCAAGCAATTGCCCAATGCTTTAGAGATTATACTTAATTCCTAGAATTTATATAACATATTTGATAAAGGAATTCCCGTCATCCCTTCTCATGATCAAAACATCACTCATCTCGTCGATCGCTAAAGTGGTGTCATCCGTAAATTTCACCTTATTCTTCGTGGCTTGATTGATTTTGACAAACCAATCTTTTCTACTCGTCATATGCTTTTAAAAAACAAAATTCAAGTACCACTCATCACTTCCTTGGAC